CTTATTTAGTTTTTGCTGACTTATTTGTATTCTAACCCTACCCTTATACCTGCAGGGACCACCGTAGCAGGAAAAACAATTAAAGGGGTTGAGGGCTCTGGCAGCAAGACTGCCGAGGTGAACCAATGCTGTCAAGAAGAGCACTGCATTATTTTGGGAAGCTGAACCTCTCCTGTGCAGAAAAGTTTGGGTACATCCCACTGGAACCAGAGAGCAAGCAGCTTGCTCTTGACGAAGACTACTGGCTGTCCAAGTTTGACCAGTGGGGGTTGGTGAACCATTCAGCTAAAGCAAGGACCGAAGACCCCTACAGGCAGCATGATGCTGCAGTTTCTGGAGCTGTGGGCCCAGACAAAGGGTCTGCAAAGTTTGCCAAGATTATTGAATCTATCTTGAACTCTGAGGTTGATACAAACAAATCCTGGTTGGAAAATGGACTTACATCCCTAAACGGTGCTGAGCTGCGGAACCAGGTGGAGGAGGAGATGTTTGTTATGCTCCCACCCAACTTTGAACACCTCTATCCAACACCCAAGGCTCTTTCAGTCTTCCTGACCACATCAAAGGGTGAGAGTTTCCCCACACAAGACTTGTTTGATCACCCTGGCTTCCTTTGGAACTCATCAGAGTCGAGTCTAAGCCAACTACTTCTCGGAGTGATCCAAGCTTCTGGAATCTTAGTCATTCTGCTCTTGCTCTTTGTCTCAGTTGTGCCATCCTACTTTCTTGTCACCTGGGTACTGGGAAACTGTGACTCAAATGAAGAAGGGGAGTGCCGTGGGCCATTCTTTTGGGCACTCTTACCTCTGGCCTTGCCTCTATTCCTTCTGTCTTTTTCAGTGATTGTGGTACTATGCAAATTTGCTGTTGTCAGGAAGTATCGAGCTCAACAGTTTCAGCTCTTGTCATGGGACTATGCTTGCTGGTGGTTTGTTGATAGGATCCTGGATATTTGGGAATCGCTTGTTGGGCAATTTCTTTTGGACACAAAGTTCATTTGGATCTTGTACTGGCTCCTTGGCACAAACCTGGCATGGTCTGCCAAGATTGAGTCCTATATTCGAGAGTTTGACCTGGTGACAGTTGGTGACAATGCTGTCATCAGCCACCCTATGAAGTGCCGGAAATTCTCTCATTCAAATGGAGATGACAACCCCAAGATAACGTTCTATCCCATTGTTGTAGGAAAGCACTGCAAGATATCTGGCATGGTCAGCCCAGGGGCCAAGATTGGAGATGACAGCAAGGTGGAGAAACTGTCAGTTGTTGAAGAGGGAGCCATGGTACCAGATGGTGTCCTTGCCCAGGGAAATCCAGCATACAATGCTGGCTCATTTGAACATCAAGAATCACTCGGTTTGGAAGAGTCCATGTTGGATATCTTCAAGATATTCTGGATAGTCCTTGAGGCATATCATTTCTTTGCCCTCTCCTTCTTGGTCCATGTTGCACTGAACTCAATCTTGCCCGATTGGCGCTATGCTACAATACTACATTGGATTTTGCTGGTTCCTGTCTCCTCCCTACTTGCACTTCTTACAAGCATTGCTCTCAAATGGGTACTGATTGGAAAACGAGACCCATTGGACGTATATGAAGGATCACTCTATCACCAGGCAACCAATTGGGCATGTGACTTCCACTTCCGCGTGGCTTCTTGGACACTGACTCCCTTCTTTGGCCAGTCGAGACTCTGGAACTTCATCCTCTTCCTTCATGGGCTTGATGTTGATATGGACTCTTGTATCAATAATCCATACCTCATCTTTCCACCATCAAAGGTTGATTTTGTGAAGATCCATAAGTCATTTGTAGCAACAATCTCACTTGACTTTAGCAAAAAAGGGGAGGCTTCTAAGATTGAGATCATCAACAGCAGTGTTGGTTATGGTGTCAATCTGCATGCAGGTGTCAAGATGATGCAATCAACTATCCCACCGAGGACCAATGTGCCTGACAGTATCTATGACTTGAACCAATCATGTCAGTCCCTGAATGCAAATTTGATCCTTCCAGAAGTGGTACAGATGTTGTTGAATGTGGTCCTGTTTGCCTCTATCATTCCCTCCTATGAACTGGGTCTTTTTGCAACCAAGAGTTCTTTCATGATGATCACTTTGTGTGGGTTGGCAGCTGCCTTTATCCTGCAATTATTCATATGGCTTCTCTTGACTTGGGTAGCTGAGTGGTTGCTCTTGGCTTTGCCCAATCATCTTCAGTTCAGTCTTGTTGGAGTGTACATCAACCATGTTTGGATCTTTCGGGTTGGCAACTGGCTGGAGATGCTTCTCTATGGCACTCCCATGTTTGCCTACTATGCTCGATTCATGGGCGCTGATGTTGAGGCTGATTTTTGGTACTTTGGTCATGCCATCTATGAATATCGGAAACTACATGTCCATGGTGGATGCAGCACCATTGTGGACAGCTCCAGCCTGAATGGGCACTATGTTGATGGCGGGGGGCTGACTATTGGTGACTGTCATGTGTCTGGCGTTGTGCATCCCGGATGCTTTGCTATTGCTGGATCAATAGTCGCCGGGGAAGAGAATGGGCCATGGAAGGTATTCTTGAAGGCAGCAAAGGATAGAGCTGGAATCTCCGGGGGTTCGAGCAGACACACAACATCCGATGAGGCGCTTGGTGTTTATACTAGTGTTTAGCTTTATGTTGAATTAGTAACCTTCATAGCATATATTCATTTTTCGTCCTGTCACTGCGACGGTGAGCCTCGTTGAGACTTGTCCATGCAGCCACCGTTCGCATTGGCGTGGTCCCAAAGTCGGATCCAGTCCAAGCAAAGCGAGTACTAGTACACCCTAGTAGCTAGCTAGTAGCAGTTGCTGTGGCTCGTCCTCGATCGAGTCCCTCCCTCAATCATGTCCGTGTGGGGCCCCCAAGATATTTCGGCGCAGGATCCCTCGAGCTACGTGACAGCCAGACCAAAACTATACCTGTTGCTACAGAAGCAAGTGTAGGAGCCCAACGTTTGCACGGCAAAGACTACGAAACGAGATCTCTTGTTGAAAACATGTAGGTAGCCAGTACCTGTCTATCTGTTACTGGTGTATTTGCTTGCCTATAGCTAACTATGTATACTTTACTGGCTCGCCGTACTATTGACTTCCTTTGGTGTCTTCCCATAAACGGCCACCTTGGCCGCTTTTTTCATTTTGGAAAAGTATCCCTTTTTCTTCTTTTCTCCTCCTCCTGAGCAGCTGGGATGCAACGTTTTGGCATGCTTTGTTGTTGTTGTTGTTGTTGTTCCTGTGAGACAAAGGTGCTGCGACTCGGTCAATGCCAGATTCTGGGTCAAGTAGGCAACATCCATGCATCCTCCGGCTCGAATGAGAATGGCAGCTCGTTCGGTGGGTTCCATGGCTCGTACGGGGCCACGGTCCATGGAGCGTTCCAGGTAGTACTCTTGTACCGTGGTAACGGTCGTGTTTTGACATTCCCAATCAATAGTGAGCATGGCAGGTCCATCTTCGTTGCCTTCATCGAGAATCATGGCGTGTTCTCGAATTTCGGTAATGTCAAATTCGACGCGGCGGTGCTGTCGTCGACGTTGTCGCGTAACAACAACAGTCGAATCGTCGGCGTTCTTGAGAATGGGCGGACCTGGTGGAGCTGCGGGAATGTCAATCTTCGTGTGGAAACTGCAGCTGCTGCTGCAACTGGACGCACTGGTCGCACTGCAGGAGGACAAGTCCGCATCATTCTGCATGGTCCATGTGCGTCGCAAGGCGCGGATCTTTTTGGGGGTGGGGCTCAGAGACCTGGACTTGCGATTCTTGCTGCTGCTGCTGCTGCTGGTAGTAGTAGTAGTACTCGAAGTACTCGACGACTTCTTTTTCGTAAGGTTTCGGGTACTGGTGGACTTCATGGGAGGGTGGCTGACATGTGCGCGCATCTTGGCAATGTCCCTGCTAGGCTTGTTGTTGGAAGCCTTGGGCGATACTGTTCGTTCCGTTCGTCCCGATCTTCCTCGTGCAGTGGGAGGGTTTTCCATGGTGGTGGTGGTGGTGGTGGATTGGCACATGATTCGATTCTGGTGGGATGATGTGAAGGTTCGGGGGGAAAGATGCCTTACGGTCGTTTGTGTGCAACAAAAACCAAAAGGTAGAATTGTGAGCTTTTGCAAAAGAGGTGGAGGAGCTTCTCTGTAAAGGCAAGGAGGTATTAATACTACCAGTAGCTAGATCTAGCTAGCTAGAGCTAGTACCGGTGGCAATTGCAACAGGAACTGATCCGGTGTGGTATCGGGTACAAGCAAGCGTTGCAGCAATAGTGAGGTCTTTCCTCCACCTCTTTCGGCCTTTGCATGGATTTGGGCCTCTTCATCGACCAGCCAACAGCTGAGAACTTCTTTTACCGCTTGAAAATGCGTTTTTTCTGGAGGACTGTGAGTTTGTGCTTGAGCTGAGCGCGGTGCTGGGCGATCAAGATATTATCAAGTTACCAGCAAGATTCTCCTTTCTCCGTTAATTCGGAGGCAGAACCATGAACCATTCATGCCAAGAGCACTGTCCTATATCATTAGTCCCGTATACCAAGAGTGGCTGGTGTAACTGAAATAGTGTCTAGAACTCCTCTTGGTCATATTTCGCAGCTCATTCATGGCTCATTCATGCTTTAGGCCAAAATATGGCCTAGACCTTATAACTCATCTTGGACACTTCTCTTTGGCCTTCGAAATACGTGTTATAGCGGCTTTAAAGTCAAAGACCTAGACAGTCATACACGAGGCAAATGAATATGATTTCCACCACTTGCTTGGACACAATGCTGTAAAAGATTTATTCGCCCAAAAAGGCTTGGGATGCTGTGGGAAGTGGGAAGAGCTGCAGAGAATTATTTCCATGTTGCAGGTTGCAGGGCAATGCAGCTACAAGTCCCAAAGTAAAAGTGGCAGTCGCAACGAACAAAGCTACATGTAATGACAAGCATCTCCATTGCCTGGAATAGCTTCCATCCTCAAATAGCCCGCTAGCTAGCTGCTAGCTGCTAGCTATCATAGCTCGTAGTACCTCGACTTATTGCAGCAACGGTGTGGATTCTTCCTGGCTGGTGGTGTGAACGCAAGCATCGCGCCAAGCTGGGCCTTAAGGACTAGTCTATTGCATTAACTCTTGAATTGCATTGCCCCCGAAGGGAGTACGGACTATTGCACCATGCATTGATGCTGGCGGCACAGCAACAGCACAATCGCCCCTTGCTAGATCGCTCGTAGTACAGCAAGGGGTAACTACCAGTGTGTACTAGTCAGCCAGAGCCATCATGAGCACGCAGTTTTGCCCAGTGTATTGCCAGGCATTCAATGAATAATGGACCCTATTGTGAGACTTCTTCAGCCTGGGATGTGCTCAGGAGGCCAGTGTGGCCGGTGAGCAGACTTGACTGTGGGAAATACCCGAGCCTTAGCTCGTGGGTAGTCCTCAAGCACATCTCGTCTGAATCCGTTATTAGACGTTCAGTTTTTTTTCAGCCTGGGATGTGCTGCATGTATAGAATACCGCACTCCTCATTAGAAGCTCTCGCTTTCTTTAGCCCAGCCAGCAATGAATTCAATATCTGCAATAGCAAGTTCGGTGCTGAACGAAAGTAGCACCAGAGTTAAGGTTATTTAAATCAGGGGTTACATGTATGGTACAATTACTCCTGAGGAAGCAAGTATGCACAATGGCGTTGCCCCAATGAGAATGACCAATCCAACGTGGTGGGCTGCCACCATCCCAAAAGCTGTTGCTGGTCATTGGCTGGCTGTTCACTTCTGTATCGGTATCTGGAACCATGGGGTTGGCTCCAACACTGGGCAACGAAGACAACTGCGAGCAGCAAAGGCGAGTGCATGCCACGATAAACATAACGATGCCAATACTAGTTTCTATCATACAAGGAAGAATTTTCACATGTTGCTGTTTCCATGGTTTTGATGGGCTTTTAAAGGTCATGGACCGTACACGGAACGGAAGCTTTGGGCAGACTAGCTCTGTCAGCTAAAATGAATAATGTTCAGTTAGGGTTGGGGTACCCATTCTTGGATGCAAATCCTGGAATGAAAAAGACACCAAGCGAACCCACAGTTCACAATCCCCTCTTGGGGCATGCATCGGCGAATACCGTACGGTATGCAGTCCCATTACTGAGTACACGGGCGAGATTGTTCAAGAATGCATGCGATTTTACAAAGAATGGATGCCAAGCACATCAGTTCAAACGTCTTTTAAGGTCTGGCCGTCGCTAGGATTGATTTTTCTTCAAATTGAGCCATTTGTTGGTGATAACGACAAATCTGACGCAATATTCGCCTATTTGACACGAATTCGCTCAAATAAAGCCATAGAATTGTCATTTTTAGACCTACCACGGCCAGACCTTAAAAGACAATTCATCGATTTTGAACTGATGTGCAAGGTAGTTCTGGTAAACATAAGGACAAGGATAATTATGATTTATTATATTTGTATCTAAAAAATACCTCAACTCGAAATCCTGGCTGGTGCTTGGCGTTTGGAGCATACAAATGGCTATCCAGTATCTGATCAGTTCACAGTATCAGGTCTAAACCTGGTACTCGTTCTGGGATGCACCTTCAGCACCTCGATTGATGTCTTTCGCAGACCACCACCCTTCAATCTCATATAAAAATTTTCTCCCACAAAAGCAAGCAGCAAGCCTCTACGATTGAACTATAAATTGCATACCGCTACGCTGAAACGATGCTCCTGATCGAACTCTTTGCAAACTGGACACGAGCTGCAGCATTTGCTGCACTGGTGCTCGCTATTGGTGTGTATCGTTGGATGCACTTTAAACAATGCGACGAAAAATTTCCTACCATGGCCCCAACTGGCACCTTGAAAACAATGGCAGCATTGGCCTCAGGCGACAATCCCTGGTTCATCCTCAGGACTGCCCAGTCAATAGGGGTGTCTGTCTTCCGTTTGCCTCTACAGTTTCTCTGGGGGCCGATGTTTGTGGTGGTTGGTGATGCCAAGCTGGCTCGAACTATTCTTGCGGACAAGAGCACTGCCAAGCCTGATTCAATTGGTAAGAAATTTTGAGACTTCTCCTAAATCCTGTTTCAATGTTGCTGATGCCTCGACATTTTTATATTCAGGCTCATCCGACTACATTACCAATGGGGCTCGGTCCTTTGCCTCGGCAAATGGGTCATTCTGGCATGTACGCCGCAAGGGGGTTTCTCCAGCCTTCTCCTCTAGCCATGTTCAACGCATGAATGCAGTTGCTGTGGCCAAGTGTGATAAATGGATTGAAGAAAGATTGAAACCCCTCATTGACGAGGGCAAGTCCTTTGATGTGGGGAATGAAATGCTTGATTTGCTTCTAGTTGCCATTTGTGAAACCGCTTTTGAGTATACAATCTCTCCTATGGAAGTCAAGATGTTCAAGCATGAAATGGAAATTGTATTGCTTGAGTTTTTGTTCAAGGCACACTTCCAGCCTTGGCGAAAAGTCCTTGGAAGATTGCTTCCAGCTCATCGGCGTGCTAGGCTGGCGGCTAAACAGATTCAAAACCTGAGCTTCAGGATTATCGAGGCCTACAAGAAGCTAGACAACCCTACCCAAGGGACCATCATCAACCTCGTCATGTGCAACCAGGCATACAAGAATGACGCAGAGCGAGCTGCTGACAGTAAGTAACTTGTGCGCTTCTGGAGGCACCCATTTGCTTTCCAAGTCTTGCACCTCTCATTCCATCATTATCTTGGCCTGTCTATCTATCTATACCTTGGATGTGCGTATGTAGTCACCATGATGCTTTTTGTTGGCCATGACACAACAGCAAACACATTGGCCTTTACCCTGAAGGAACTTGCTCAAAACCCACGGCACCAGGAAGTGCTCAGGCGTTCTATCCATGAAGATGACACACAGGCACCCCATCAGCTTGAAAGTGTCCGCAACACTATCCGTGAATCCATGCGCTTGCTCCCAGTGTCTGGGGCTGGATCCTTGCGGGTTACCGGAAAGGACTTTGTAACCAAGGAAGGCAAGCTTATCCCTGCTGGCAGCATTACCATATTGTCCTATTTCTCCATGTTACACGACCCTTCTGTTTTTGGCAAGGATTACAGCCAGTTCAATCCTGCCCGTTGGGAGAAGGCTACACCGGAAATGAATCAAGCTTTCTTGCCCTTTGCAGCAGGACGCCAGAACTGTGTAGGCCAGTCCTTGGCAAATGCTGAATTAAATTGCATTCTCCCTCGCATCATTTCCCAATTTGAGTTGACCGTTGATGAGCCAGGTCATTGTGACTGCTTCTTTTCCATTAAGCCAGGTAAGTACTGCCACAACATCAACACTGTATCGGACTTGGCTTCAAGTGAGAGGTTCTAACATGACCTGTCCATTATATGTCTGCTACAACAATGGGACTGCACAGTCAATACCACACTCAGAGCCAAGCCTATTTCTCAATCGTAGAGATGGGGATGGAATCAAACTCAGGCCGCCCTGTCATGATTTAGTTCACATCACTTCAGTTTGAATGAAACCTTTAAGCTTTTATCAAATGCAGCAAGAAGTGAGAGTGCTATTTACTGGGTTTGACAGAGACAAGCCTTTAAGCTCAGAAATCTCAATCAAGTAAATGGAGATATAACCAGACGATCAGAATACATCTTTAGGAACTATAGTTTTACTCCGTTTGAGCCAGCCATCCAATGGAAGCTGAATAGGAGAGCCCTCATCGTCAACTATTTGCAGTCTTGTTTGAGTCAATCAAGACCGTTCAGTTTTTGTTGTGGTTGTTCCAAACAGACAGCTAGCCCCAGACCAGCTCCGATGAGACAGCAGAAGGCAGGAGTCGGGCGCCCAAGGGAATCACGTACCGGTATAGTGATTCCAACACCACCCCCAAGCCTCCGGCGAATCCTCTATAGGGTGGGCGATCTGTTCCATATTATCATTTCTCGTTTTCAATTCCACGGCGGTCTATAGCTCTCGACCAGCGAAGCGAAAGTACATGATCTCGTTGCATGACCTGAAACGTATCATCTTCGAGAAACGTACCGTGTATCAGTGCTCTATGGTCACAGCTAGAGATGAAATTGCGGAAAGAGCGTATCAAGCTATCATGAGCCTGGTTGGAATTATCCTGTGGCTTCTAAGATGTAGCACGTTGCTGTTGGATCCGAAAGGTATCCGTCTGGTCACAGTGTAATAGTTGAGAGAATGATCCAAACTAGACTCGAATCGAGCTCCGGGCGTCTGCTTCCAACGCACCCGAGCGACGCTCGTCAAACGCAGCATTAGTGAGACAGGGGATGACAAGTTACCCGTTTGTGGTGACTGTTACCGTATTTGCGCCAGACGCAGTCTTTCTTCAAGGTGTCGCAGTTCTCGTGGACGCTCGTCACCGCTCCGTGGACGAAACACCTTTATATAGTTTTAAAGTACGTAGAGTTTACGTCCTTCACACTCCGCCGAGAACTGTCAACCTCTTTCCTTCTTCGAGCCCTTGGTTGAACAAGTGGTCCAACAAAGCTTGCAAACAGCTTTGGTTCTGATGAATGGGTTACTATATCGTTAGAGTGGGCCATGGGTGGGAATGTACTCCAGAGGTTGTGGGCAGAAGAGCTTCCGTGTCGCAAGGGGCTCCCGGATACCGGTAAGCTCAAGCAGCCCACCGGAAGAAAGGAAGGATTGAAAAGAAGAGGGCCAGGGAAAGGGAAATGAGCGAGAGGACGAAAACTAGTGGCAGTGATCCAGAGCGCCACAATCATCTCATTGCGGGGGAGCTCCGGCTCATCATAGAAGCAGGAACACGAGATGCACGGCGGCGCATCGTATATAGCTGCTCGAGCACGGAGAATGCTCAATCGAGCGGAAACACAGGAGTTGATGCAGTGATCATGTCGCAATACGGTAACCCCTCGCGGGCAGCAGAACCTACGGTAGTCCTGATTTCGGGCTTTTCTTTTCCTGCCTTCTCTACAGCCTGGTATGTCACTGGTACTGGTACTGGTGATCACTCTACGATGTATCGTGCTCGTAGGCTCTGCGTCCGCTTGTCCGCGCTGCTGGCTGATAGCTGCTAAGGTTACCCCCCGGATAGGGTTCATGGGACCGGTAGATCTCGTAAATTGCGATTTTGTGCTTTGAAATTCCACGATGACGCTGGAGACGAAGGGTTGAAAACATCATCACTTTTTCAAATCTTTGGATCCGTGTCCGGTTTCTCCCCGATTGCAATGGAGACAAATGATTCAATCCACTCTGAAAGATATGCCATACGCATCTTCGAACTCGGTCTCTATGTTAGATAGAGCTACTTGGCTAGCAAGCTACGGTTGCTGTAGGATTCCAGTACTCCAATCGGGGACTGAAAAGGATCGATGGGTGACGAGCACCAGATGTATGCAAGAGCATCATCACGCCGCCGGCTTCATAAGAACAGAGATGGAGGAACAGGCGTGACGAGAAAGTCTGGTTCGCGTGGGCATCATCGCATCAACAGTTCGAAAGCAACCAAATTCTGGACGAAGCGTGACGAGATTGCTTGGTTTGTTTGGACATCATCACCCAGACTATCAAAAACCGATAGAGCATTGGAACTAACTATAGGACGCCTGTGAAACCCACAGCCCGGCTCTGCAAGCGACACTATCGGTGAGTTACGTATCTTCGCAGTACATCTTCCGCACAAGAAATCTGAAGGTTGATTTGCGGCGGGAATCAACGAAGCCAACCTAGCAAAGGTCGCAACCAACTACTTCTGATGTCAGGGAGTCTATGCTTGATCTTCCCAGCCGCGGTGTTGTCTCATAATATAGTGTCTTTTCACTCGAGCAGCTCCTCTTAGGATTGATCCCTCTCTGAGATAAGTTTGAAACCATGATTATGTTTGAACTGATGGATGATACCTGGACGCTTGGTTTGTCTGTTGCCGCATTGGTCGTCATGTTGGGTCTGTATCGTTCGATCAGCGCACACCGTGACAAACGAAACAAGCTGTACCCTCCGATGGCCCCAACAGGGTTCTGGCAGACCATCAATGCAATGGCTGGGGATGATAATCCCTGGTTTCTATTGAGAACATCCTTGAGAATGGGGGTGCAAGTCTTTCGATTGCCTGTACAGTTCTTGGGAGGGCCACTGTTTGCCGTGGTAGGAGATGCCAAGCTGGCACGTATTATTCTCAATGACAAGGAGACAAACAAGCCCATTGCCATGTATAGTAAGCCTTCCAACATGATCATTGACAGCAATCCAACCGCTTCATCTAATCTCTTTGCATTGTCATCACTTGTTGCTAAAAGGAAGCTTTGACTACCTGACCAATGGGGCCCAATCCCTTTTTTCCAACAACGGGCCATTCTGGCATGTACGCCGCAAGGGTGTTGCTCCAGCCTTCTCTTCTAACCATGTTCAACGGATGAATGCAGTTGCCGTGGCCAAGTGTGATAAATGGATTGAAGAAAGACTGAAGCCCCTCATTGATGAGGGCAAGTCCTTTGATGTGGGTGATGAAATGATCGATTTGCTTCTAACTGCAATCTGTGAAACCGCCTTTGAGTACACAATCTCTCCTATGGAAGTCAAGATGTTCAAACATGAATTGGAAATTGCATTGCGCGAGTTTTTGTTCAGGACACATTTCCAGCCATGGCGCAAAGTTCTCGGAAGGCTGCTTCCTGCTCATCGCCGAGCTAGGTTGGCCGCTGAACGGATTCAAGGGTTGGGCTTCAGGATTATCGAGGCCTACAAGAAGCTTGAGAACCCTACCCAAGGGACCATCATCAACCTCATCATGTGCAACCAGGCTTACAAGAATGACGCAGAGCGAACTGCTGATAGTAAGTTTTGGTTGAAGTCTCTAGAGGGCTCATTGGATACTTATTGGCATGCCTCACTTTCTGGTGTTCTCTTTGCCTGATTATCCTGTCGTAAAGTTGCAATCTTGTTGGTAGCCGGGCATGACACAACTGCATACACGTTGGCCTGGACACTAAAGGAACTTGCTCAAAACCCCATCAAACAGGCAGAACTCAGGCGTTCTATCCGTGAAGATGACCTCCAGGCGCCCCACCAGCTTGAAACTGTTCGCAGCACAATCCGTGAAGGCATTCGCTTGCACCCTGTATCTGGGGCTGGATCTGCCCGGCTTACTGGAAAGGACTTTGTAACCAAGGATGGCAAGCTCATCCCTGCTGGTAGCATTACCATAATGTCCTACATGATCATGCTGCGCGACCCTTCTGTCTTTGGCAAGGATTATGACCAGTTTAATCCTTCCCGTTGGGAGAAGGCCACACCAGAAATGAATCAAGCTTTCTTGCCATTTTCAGCGGGACGCCAGAACTGTGTAGGCCAGCCTTTGGCAAATGCTGAATTGCATTGCATTCTCCCTCGCATCATTTCCCAGTTTGAGTTGACCGTTGATGAGCCAGGTCATTGTGAGTGCTTTCTCACCATAAAGCCAGGTAAGCACCAACAGAACAGCAGTGTGATAAGGTTTGGCATGGAGTCAGTGATTCTAACCCTGACCTCTCACTGTTTTGTCTCATCTGTATGTCTCAAAACTGGGGCTGATAGTTAATACGATGCTCCGGGCCAAACCCTGTGCTCAGTCATAGAGACAGTTTGAGCGAGATGGAATCACACTCAGGCCACACTGTCATCTTTTAGTCTGCTTCATGTTAGTTCAGTCCCAAAACAAGTCAATACAAGATCAGGAATTCAATCAAACCAAAGTGAGATAATCCAACAGCCCAACGCATCTCTTAGGTACTATCAATTTCCCATTTGCAATAGGAATCCATAACCTAGCTAGTATTGACCTGATAGCTAGCAGCAAACAAGGGGTTTAGTGTATAGGGAAGTTAATGCTCGGCTCAGCCTCGCTACTCTTCGGGCCCGTCACCTTTGCATGCGCGGCTCTCACAGCCCAGCTGGCACAATGAGCTACCGCTGTTCCCTCTGGGATGCTGATGGTGCACTTGCCCTCATCGGCTAATCTTGCTCCCTCTTTCTCCCTCCTGCCTTCCCCTCCACTTCCTTCTTTCACCCCTCACATCCTCCTTCGCCCATTGCCCTCCCTTTTGCCCTTCTCTCCCTGTGATTCCCCACCACCGATGCCTTAGTAAGCTGCCAAGCTGGCTCCTCCATCTATTTAGGACGGCACGGCCAGCCGGAAATAGATACTGTGGTAACCGGGGGTTTAAGAGGACCAAAAGGGGGGGCACAGGGCTTGGCTTAGCATAACCCGTAGCCCGGTCGTCGCCCATGCAGGTACCAGGTACCGATACAGCCAAGCCATGTCGAAGAAAGAAGAATGCTTTGTTATGGAAGTTCTCAGAAGTAACCGAGATGATGAGGCGCGGTAGAAGTGATACTATAGCTGCTTATGCAGATTCCCTGACAGTGACTAGGTTTCCACGGGTCAAATCGAAGCAACCCTTCTCGGCTACCATCCAGACATTGGAGGGAAGGCAGATACCCATTTCCTTTGGAAAGGATACCACAGCTCACAGCCTCCACGAAAAGTTGCTGCAAGAAACCAATCTCCCAACTCTCTCCAGGAAAAACGCCAACTACTACCTGTTAATCCATACTAGTAGTGGGAAAGTGATGGATGGTAGCTTGTTCACATCTTCAGGAGGGCAGACGGTTCTGACTCTGGGCATTGAGGATGGCTCCATTGTCTATGCCATCCTGACAAACAAACCGCTACGTCTTACAGCTCCATGCTCGACCGTCAAGAAGTATGATATACCCAAAACAGAGCTACGTTCTTTAAACACCCGCCAGCTTAAGGAACTGGCTCTCCAGGTGATTCTGAGGTGTGAAGCTGAAGGCTGGACCAGCACTGATCTTAAGAAGAAAGGAACCCCACTCAAACCAGAGGATGTGACACTCTACGATCTTGTGGAGCATTACGTCAAACCCATTACGGCAGAAAGACAGTGTAGTTATGTCGAGATGGTTTCATCCAAGGAAAAGAGCCCGACTTATTATGTTAGTCACTACTGGGGAGACTCCGTGCTGGGTAAGATTGCCTGTCTTTTGCAGCATGCCAAAGATCACATGGACGATGGCAGCTTTACCTACTGGATCTGCGCCTATGCCAACAACCAACACAAATTGCAACAAGAAATCAACTCCCATGGTGACCCTATTGAAACCTCCTTCTTCCGAGCCATACAACTCAGTCAAGGGACCGTGTCCATCATGGACCAACACCGAATCTGCTTTGCCAGAATTTGGTGTGCCTTCGAGATATTTTTGGCTCTGAGGGACATGAACAGCAACAAGAGCAACAACAACAATAACAAGTCATGGGGATCAAAGCAGCAGGAAGAGGACGTGCCGTACATGTATGAGATTTACACCGTCAAGGCAACACCGGACAATCGACACGATAATGCATGCTTGGGACTCCGGGATGTGAACGTCTTTGGAGGTGCACAATATGGTGCCAAAGGCAAGCCTCCGTTTCCATGTTGCCCCGAAATGCTGGATATTTGTATTGAAAAGGCTGCCGCCACCAGGGACAATGACAGAAGGAGCATTCTCAACTATATTTGTGGAGGGAGAGCGGCAGCAGTCTCAAATGAAGAACCGCCATCGGGACACTGTGCCTACCAGGAAATCAACAATCTACTGCGGGCAAGGATTGCACTGTCAACATACCAGGCAGCTCTGGCGCAGCAACAACCAATGGAAAAGTACCGAAATGCCATTCGTCATCACCCAAATCTCAAGCGTCTTTCCATGAACTTTTATGAGTTTGATCCTTTTGTGGAAGAAGCTCGACATTTCATGGCCACGGCTCTTCCAGAGGGATTGGAATCACTGCAGCTGTATTATGGAGGACTGGCGTTTGAATCATCGGATGAGTTTGCACGAGGCTTGAGCAGACAGACAAACCTCAAAGAATTCACCCTGC